AGTTGATGGGTGCAGCAAACCAACATGGTTCATGTATACCTATGTATCAAACCCGCACATTGTGCTTTCGTACCCTAGAACTTAAAGTACAATAATAATAAAAAAGAAACACCCCAAATGTCCATCAAAAACAGAACGGATAAATGGATTGTGGTATATTAGTATAATGGAATACAGACCAATAAAAACTAAAAGAACCACAGATATAAGTTCTTCTAGTTTTTGACGTGGACAATTCCCACAAATAATGTATTAAAGGAGCAAGCCACAGAGTAATGCAGTATTATTCCATACACATAAAGTTCAAAACCAGGCTAAACTAAATCATTCTTGATGCATGTGTACGTAGTGAAACTGTCAAGAAAAGCAACGTCGTTATTACCATGAAACTCAGGAAGGTGGGGATACAGAGGCGAGGGAAGCGGATGTGATGAGGGAGGAGGGTGTCATCAGTAGGGAAACAGGCAGGGCCTCCATCGATGACAATATTCCAGTTATTAAACTGGGTGATGGGTTGTACTGCTGTTCTTTATAATTTAATACACATTTTAAATGTTCTTTTGTATTTATTCCATAGGTAATAAAACTTATTAAAACCACATATCAAAAAAATAAAAAATAAATAAATAATAAAAGCTGGGCAGGCATTCCATGGGTGGTGAAATGGGGGATGCAAATAATAGGCTGAGGAATTAGCAGGTACCAAGAATGTGGCAGGAAGACAAAGGGCATGGTTTGTGCGGTGTCCCTGGGGTGGGTTTCCATGGTTTCCTGTGAGCCACTTGGTAGTGAGACAGGATGGACCCTTATGCCACATTTAGGAGTTTGAACTTGAGATTATGGTCTGGAAAGCCATGCATGGTTTTTAAACAAACGTCTCATATGAGTGCATTGGGGCTTTAGAAAGACGATCCGGCTCAGCATTTGGTCTGAAAAGAGGCTAGGGAGCTGGCAGGTAGGCCACCACCATGGGCCGGGGACTGCTGGGGATTGTCTGTAATAGAGAAGTGGGGACTGGAATTGCCAGTCAGAGTGACAGCTCACACAGGGATATAGCGCAGGAGGGTGAAGTCCCGAGGCGCCTAGCTGTTATAAATTCATACTTAGGGTGGGTCATGAACCATCGGAATTTTATATGAGGAGTCAGGCTGGAATGGGGAATATGACTTGTTCCATTTGAGATGTGTGGAACACACCATACCAGGTAAACCTGTCACAAAGACAGCCAAGGATGTTTGTAAACACAGTTAGGGACTGGGGATGAGTAGGCGGTCTAGAGCCGGAGACCTGGGGCCACCAGCATCCCGATTCCGAGAGGTACCATGAAAATTGATGAAACTACGCAGAATATGTAGTGGAGGCACAAGAGAAGAAATCCACCTATTTCTGGGGCATTTCAAATATATGGAGGTAATAAAAGGAAGAGACACAGGAGGGCGACGGAGAGAGAGAGCCCGCGTGCGAAAGGGAGACTTCGACCCAGCCATCAGGATGTGCTGGCAGAACTGGGGAGACGAGTCTGCCCCTCCGAGGGGACCCAGGGAAAAGGGCGCGGTCTACGCAGAGCCCGAGGCAGGGAAGCCGGAAGGGCCCGGAGAGCAGCCCTGGGTGAGGCCGTTTGGAATGCGGAGGTCTCAGGAGTGGAGCAGCAGCCAGAGGACTGAGAGTGTCTGGAAAGTGAGGAATTGGTTAAAGTAACCCCGGTGGGTGGCTGCGACAGAGAGGGGCGTAGGTGAAGAAGCACCCACCCCCCAAATCCCGTTTGAGAGGAAGCAGTCAATGAAGAAGGGAATGTGAGAGATACAGAAAAATGAAGGCAGGGATGGAAAGAACGGAGGGAGGGGACAGGGAGGGGAGGAGAAGGTGCAACCAATAGGCTGTAAGCACAGGAGCAGGCGTGGGTGCCAGGGGAGCAGGGACTCGGCGCCTCCTCGATCTACCCCAGGCGCCCCGGAAATTCCAGGCCTGGCCGCCAGCACTCCCCGAGTCTCCTCCGCAGCCGCGGCTCCTCCCAGTCGCCCTACCCGGGCTCGCGCCCGAGCTTCCGGCGCTTCCAAACCCACTGCTCGCGTCACCCGCCGCTCCCACCAGGCAGCAAATCGCAGGCGGAGAAACAGACGCTTCCTCTCTAGGGGCAGCTTCCGAGTCAGGGAGGGTCTGCGCGCTCCTGCTCTCTGGGCCCGGCCCTCGGCCTGGGCCGGGTCTCTCGGTGGGGCTCGGGACCCCGGCTGGTGCCAGGGCGACCCCCACAGCCCCGCGACTCTCTTTCCCGGCCGCCTCCCACCGTCATTCCCCTACTTCCTGCCCTGCCCGCCTTTGCCTCGCTCTGAGTCCTTCTTTGGTCTTCCTCTCTCCCCGCTCTCTTCCGCGCTCCAGGGAAGAGGTGGCCGCCGCGGGAACCTGGGCACCTGCGTGCCTGCCCCGCCTGGTACCTGGGAGAGGCCCCCACCTCCTGCTGCTGCTGCCGCCGCTGCTGCCGCCGCTGCTGCTTCGCCTATTCCTCCTTTGTAGATGCTTCACGTCCGCCTTGATTGAGGGCAAGGCTTCCGGCAGATGACTCAGAACCGTTCGATTGCGCTGGCCTGTGCAATCCCTGATTCTTTGGGCCTGTGTGGATGTCTGCGGGCACCGGAGAGAGGGCCAGTGACTGGTCCTTGGAGGGTGGTTGTGGAAGGCTTTGCTCAACAGGAGATTGGTTTGTTTTTCTGGATTAGTATGTTCAGTATCCGTGTTTCGGGTGTGTGCGTGCAAGAGCACTCTCAAAGTGAGGACTTGACTTTGAAAATTAACTAAAGGCAAAATCAGAAGTTAAAGTTGCTAAAGTCAGCAGTTTCCAAGCTGTTTTGGCGTGACACCCATCAACGCAAGTTTCCACACGCATCCCCAATGGATCGCTATGAATTTATACGTAATAATGTGCTCAATACTAATGTATTCTAAATGCTATAAAACATATAAACAAATTTAAATTTGGATTGACAGCAATCATGGGGGTAAAGGTCTCAGGAAATGGACTGATTTAAATGGAATAAAGAGCATTGGTTGTACTTACTAAACCTTGACATTTGATTTTCAGTACATATACTGATCACTCAAAGATATTTGATTGGAATCTAATTAGTAAAAATCTATCCTCTTGAAACCAGTTTTTAAAAATAATTTAATTTTTGGCTGGGCGCGGTGGCTCACACCTGTAATCCCAGCACTTTGGGAGGCCGAGGCAGGCGGATCATGAGGTCAGGAGATCGAGACCATCCTGGCTAACACGGTGAAACCCCGTCTCTACTAAAAATACAAAAAAATTAGCCAGGCGTGGTGGTGGGCGCTTGTAGTCCCAGCTACTGGGGAGGCTGAGGCAGGAGAATGGTGTGAACCCGGGAGGCGGAGCTTGCAGTGAGCCGAGATCGCGCCACTGCACTCCAGCCTGGGCGACAGAGCAAGACTCCGTCTCAAAAAAATAATAATTTAATTTTTATATGTCAACAGTTTGAAGCCCACCGAAACTATTCTTTTTGGAAGATTTTTATGAAGGTTAGAAACCTACATTTCCAAGTTTTTAAAGTTTTCTTATATGAGAATTTTAACATTTTTAAACAACAAAATCATACAATTATGGAAAAATACCCCAGGAGGGGTTCTCAAAATGATGACCCCAGACTCTTTCAAAAAGCAGTTTATTTCTCATTCATGGAAAAGATGCATATTTACCTGAAAGGCATTCAACTGTATTTTTTTCAAAAACGTTTGCTAGGTATTCCACTACTGACAGCCTCATCACAGAAAAGGTCAGCATAGGAGGGAACAGTAGCCTTTTACAAAAGAAAAAAAAATGCAAATGTGTAATGAATTCCTTTTTTTAAAGTACAATTGTTGTAAATGATGAATTGATGGGTGCAGCAAACCAACATGGCACATGTATACGTATGTAACAAACCTGCACGCTGTACACATGTACCCTAGAACTTAAAGTGTATATACATATATACGTACACTTGTATGAGATAACAAGAAAGTCAGCATTTTTCAAAAGACTGATGGCTGCTTTCCTGCTTATTACAAAGTATTATAAAAGTTCTGCTATTTAACATCCTAGGTTTTTGGTTTTTAAAACTGCAGTGATACCATCTGGTGGCAAGCATTCCTCGCAATATCTTGCTGAAAGCAAATGCACAAGAAGGCTACTCTCAACCCTATTTTTGACGAAACAGTGCTCCTCAGTGTCTATGTAGAGGTTCAAAGAGCCAAGTTTTGGTTCAAACCCAGTTATCCCAGATCCCAAAGTCTGTGCTGTTCTGCTTCCAGAGAGGAACTGGGCAGGCTAAACAAATCAGAGATAGACACGGACACTCAAGTTGAGAGCCTCACAGAACAATTTTGAAAAGTAATCTTTGCCACTTCAGGTTTCTATTAAACCCCTACTTTTCAGAGGGTTCTTACTCTGGAAAATCTTTCAAAAATCTCAGCCCTAACACATCTTGGACTGAACATGATTGGGATAAAAAGTAGACAGGGACTATTTCCCAGGGTCTCAAGGCAAATGGTGGTAAAGGGAAGGTCTTAATCTGAAACATCCATACCACTAGGGTTTCCACTCTACTCCCACCATGGAGGAGTGGCCAACTGTCCCCTTGACTAGATTTAGCTTATCCTAACCCTCTGTTTTAAGGAAGGAAGTAGACCTCCTCCTTCCTTCTTCCCAGGACATAAGTGCATGAGTAACCTTCGTTCCTACATCCTTAATCTCTCTACTATTTTGCAAAGTCTTAGCACATAAATATGCTCAGTACCTCACATACTAAAAACAAATGTGCTTTCTTTACCTTTTATACCGTGTAGCTACCACCCGGCTTTTTCATTTTTCCATTCACAGTCAACGTCTTCATAAAAAGTGTACCCATAGGCTGTTGTCCTGTTTTCACCGTTAATTGACTTTTGACTCCACTGCAGTTAGACATCCACCCAAACATTCTCTGAAATTCCTCCTGAAAGGGATACTAATCATCTTCTAATTGCCTTGGCCAAAAGATACATCCCAGGTCTTATTTGATTTTGTTTGTTGGCGACATTTAGTCCTTTCCTCTTTGACCTTCCCAGGATATCCGGAGCACCCTTCCCTTCTTTCCTGACTCTTTTGCCTGGTATCCTGATTCCTTTCCTGCCATTCTGAGCCCTCTTCTTTTCACTATAATATGATCTTGTATGACCTCCACTATATCCATAGGTTCATGTTTCAACTTTTAACTTATTCAAAATCTCTAACCTGTCTCGAGCCGTAGATGTTACCTGTGTACTACTGGACATCTCTCCGAAACCTGGGTGTTTCCCTCCCCACTTCTTTTAACTAAATGATCAAAAGTCCTGTTATTTCTATCACTTTTGTGTTCCTCCCATCCATACTCAATCTCTTACCTCCATCATATCTCATGTCTCTCCTAAACAATTAATTTTCCTACCTACAGTTCTGATCCATGCCAACCTATTGCCTACGCTGAAGTTCAGGTAAACATTCCAATTCTAATTATTTTATACCTCAGTTTAAAATCCTTTATAACATCCTCTTATCCAAAAAGATAAATTACAAACTATTGAGCAAGGAGTGTAAGCCTCTTAATGTCTTGATTTCTCCCTTCTTTTCTTTAGAGCCATAGCAAATGATTTACATTCCTTCATATCCTCCATTCATATACATGGGGTTCCTGGCATGCAAGCTTGTCTTTCAAAATTCAGTTCAAATAATGTCTCCTGCAGGAAGCTTTCGCAGAGCTCTTCAGTTTGGGAATTCTGCTTTTAAATATCCACATTCCTCTCTGCACCCCAAACCAATTAAGTCAAGATCTCCTGGGGGAGGGAACCAGGCCACAGTATTTTGTAAAACTCGCTCAGTGATTTCCCTGTGGAATCCTAAAAGTAACTGTTCCCAAGAACTCTCCTCAGTAAGTCTTGGTGCAGGATTCGCCCCCATCTTTTCTCCATGACTTTGAAACCCCTCTCTCTAGTGGCTACAGACTCACATTTGAACTGTGCCCAAACTTACCTGCTCGGCCAGTTGAAAATGCCAAGGTCACTTCCCCGTTGTGCATCAATGTCTCCTTGCTGGTCAGAACTAGATCCAGACTTTGGACCCCACTTGGTCCATCTACTCCTTTTCCTCTTTGACCAGCAAAACAAATTAAATGATGAAAAATGCTTGTACCGTGTAGCTACCACCCGGCTTTTTCATTTTTCCATTCACAGTCAACGTCTTCATAAAAAGTGTACCCATAGGCTGTTGTCCTGTTTTCACCGTTAATTGACTTTTGACTCCACTGCAGTTAGACATCCACCCAAACATTCTCTGAAATTCCTCCTGAAAGGGATACTAATCATCTTCTAATTGCCTTGGTCAAAAGATACATCCCAGGTCTTATTTGATTTTGTTTGTTGGCGACATTTAGTCCTTTCCTCTTTGACCTTCCCAGGATGTCCAGTGCACCCTTCCCTTCTCTCCTGACTCTTTTGCCTGGTATCCTGATTCCTTTCCTGCCATTCTGAGCCCTCTTCTTTTCACTATAATATGATCTTGTATGACCTCCACTATATCCATAGGTTCATGTTTCAACTTTTAACTTATTCAAAATCTCTAACCTGTCTCGAGCCGTAGATGTTACCTGTGTACTACTGGACATCTCTCCGAAACCTGGGTGTTTCCCTCCCCACTTCTTTTAACTAAATGATCAAAAGTCCTGTTATTTCTATCACTTTTGTGTTCCTCCCATCCATACTCAATCTCTTACCTCCATCATATCTCATGTCTCTCCTAAACAATTAATTTTCCTACCTACAGTTCTGATCCATGCCAACCTATTGCCTACGCTGAAGTTCAGGTAAACATTCCAATTCTAATTATTTTATACCTCAGTTTAAAATCCTTTATAACATCCTCTTATCCAAAAAGATAAATTACAAACTATTGAGCAAGGAGTGTAAGCCTCTTAATGTCTTGATTTCTCCCTTCTTTTCTTTAGAGCCATAGCAAATGATTTACATTCCTTCATATCCTCCATTCATATACATGGGGTTCCTGGCATGCAAGCTTGTCTTTCAAAATTCAGTTCAAATAATGTCTCCTGCAGGAAGCTTTCGCAGCGCTCTTCAGTTTGGGAATTCTGCTTTTAAATATCCACATTCCTCTCTGCACCCCAAACCAATTAAGTCAAGCTCTCCTGGGGGAGGGAACCAGGCCACAGTATTTTGTAAAACTCGCTCAGTGATTTCCCTGTGGAATCCTAAAAGTAACTGTTCCCAAGAACTCTCCTCAGTAAGTCTTGGTGCAGGATTCGCCCCCATCTTTTCTCCATGACTTTGAAACCTCTCTCTCTAGTGGCTACAGACTCACATTTGAACTGTGCCCAAACTTACCTGCTCGGCCAGTTGAAAATGCCAAGGTCACTTCCCCGTTGTGCATCAATGTCTCCTTGCTGGTCAGAACTAGATCCAGACTTTGGACCCCACTTGGTCCATCTACTCCTTTTCCTCTTTGACCAGCAAAACAAATTAAATGATGAAAAATGCTTGTCTCCTCCGTGAAACTTCCAGCAAAT